GGTCGCTCAGGGTGATCCTGGCAAGATTGCATCTTTTGATTCCATCCCATCTCTTTAGGGATCGAGCATGGGTGTGACGTTTAGCTAGTTCCGCAATTGTTGAAGTCATCCGTTCATAGATGTCACTGGGTCCTAAAATGCTTAGTCCAGCTGCTTCCTCAGTTAAAGAGTCGGCAATGCGATTACGTTTACTCCTGTCGTACCCTTCAACCCACCTCAGGATAATGTTATCATCTTGGTGGCACTCTATTACTAGCCCTGAGGTAACACGTTGTCTGTTCAAGGCTTATAGGGCTTGTCTACTATCAGTGCAGATTGTTATGTTTTTGCCAGAAATTCCTTCCTCAACGTACAGATCCAGAGCGGTTAGACCAGTAATTAATTCCATTGCCACGGTTGGTGTTGTTCTCATGGCTCCTGTGCTGTTTAAACAAGCCAATCGCTGTATTTTATATAGTTTTTGGATGGCCGTTGCTTGTAGAACTTTCGGTCCCCATGCAATAGCTCCATACGTTAACATATGTCTTATTATTGCAGTGTAGATCCAGGTGATTACACGGGGTGAAAGACCCCATGCGTGTCCCACTGTCCTCCGACATTGCTCATAAGCCACATATGCTATTTTTGTTTTACTCTGTAGGTGAGAGTTCCATGTTAGCTTCCTGTCGAGGGTAGTACCAAAGTATTTCACCTCTTCAGAGAAGTTTAGTTTGCTTTTGAAGATTTCGGAAGGTTTCAAGCCCGGTGAAAAGGACCATCTCAGTCTTCTTGGGATTGATCGACAGTGAGTGTTCCTTACACATGTTTCTATCAATTTGAGCCCATCCTGTGGTCTATCGCACAGTGTGTTCACAAATTTGCCTGTCTGCAAGATAACTATGTCATCTGCATATGTAATTGTGTAGAATCCATTATTTTTGTGGTGATTATTCAGGGTATCCAAGTATTCTGAGTGTTTCTTATTTTTGCAACTCAAGTTTTTGTTTTGTCGAAATCGACACAGTTGCTGTTTGTTTGTGGTTTTGTCCGTTTGGTGGAAACCCGCCATAACGAATATTTTATAATATGAATGATATGAAATGTTAGTGGTAGATACTTCTTACATCCATATATGAAAGTCTTTCTTGAGGTTCGATTTCTTTCCAAACAATCAGGTAATTCTTTGAGTAATCGCACATAGAAGTCATTGAACATCAACACTGACGGACCTTGTATACATGTGATGAGTCAACATCCTGCCTGCATACTGCAAATATGATTCGATTATTCTTTATTGATATTCTATTGAAGTTGACCCTTGGAAATTGACCTATTTTATTTCTTGGTGGAAATCAAACAGATATTCATATTCAGTTCGCCGTTCAATGCTGATAGTGGTTACCACGTATAGATAGCCGTATGTAGTTTTCAAAGGTACCGCGATACCACGTGAAAAAATCGCAAAAGAATCGCAATGCATGTGAAACACAATAATTGTTTAGAAATGAAGGACGTCTGTAAATAGCAACAAAAAATACATAATTGAGTTTCAGTCAGGAAGTTCTCATTTTAAATTGAGTTTTGATTACATGCTTATCAGATGCCGTATTACTTTTAAATCTGTTTCAATGAAACTGTGGTTTATGGCATTTGTCAACGTATGTAAATATTTTTCAATATCAGATTTCTTGGTGCTCGTATCTCAGACGGAATGTGAATAGTTGGTGTGATGTGCTGTGTATTTGTGAATAAATCATCTCGAAATATGTGCTAATATGTGCTAATTTTTCGAAATCGGATTAAAATTTTCACGATAACAAAGTCAACTTTAGAGTGATCATCCTATTTTATCAGTTTAGACGAAAGTTTGTATTTACATAGACTCATTTGTACTTTTGGTTTCAAACTATTCGTAGATAACTTGGAAAATGTTCACAGTATCTTCTCAAATGATTATCATTATTTGTTTTTTAATTATCGTTTGACAAAAAATTAGATAACAAAAAGTTAATTTTAATGACGAAAAACTTCAATGATTACAAGCTCTATGAAGTTTTTATTGTAACAAATTATGATGAAAACCTACCTACCTTTTATGCTTAACGTTTTTTTACACATGGAAAAGGTTCGAGCATTTTTGATATAATATTGTCAAATAGTATTGCCAAACTTTAATTTTAATTCATGAGAAAATGGACTAATTTCTAACAAGCTTTTTTGGGAATATTGTATATCGGTCATCTATAGAACATATAACGTTCATTTAATAAGTCACAAATAAAATGAGTGATACTATACTGATATGTTGAAAGCAAATGAATACATATTTAATAAACGCTTCATTGTGAGAATTTGTTAAAGATTTTGTTAAAAATATGTTTATTTAGGAGTCGAAATTTCCCTAGTTGAAATTTTGTAAGGACTTTCATTATTTTCAGACAATCTGTAGAAGTTACCGGTTTTTTTTAATGAACAAATCTTGATATTTTACAAACCTAAAGCTATATTATTTATTTTTTACGAATCTTCTTCAGTAGTTTATGGAAAATTGAAAACTCAATGAATGGAAAATAAAATCAACAAATATATCAAAGAAACTTTTTGAGAAAATGACTAGGTCATTAACAGATGGTTTTCGGAAAGAAACTGAGAAAGTCTAAAACAACATTATCCTACGAATATTAAATTATACACAAATACTTTTTTTTCCTATCGGTATATCATTCATATAAAACGATACACAATAACTGCCTAAAGACGGATTTTTTTAATAGTCAGAATATTTCATGGCAAGGTAAATGGTAGGCATTTTTCAAAATATATACCTAATCATTCCAACCAATCAGAATATTTGTTTGGAAAAATATTTTCAAATATGAAATGAATGTTATGTACTAGCTTCTTGTTGATCTTCAACTTTCATTTTTGGTAATCAAATAATTCTACTGTTCTAATAATTGTCATAAATGTTTATTTTTCACTAGGAAAAATGTATGAAAAATATTTTCTCTCCAAATTCGTCCCCTCAATGTGTCTAGATAATACCACGATTTCATCAAATTGTGGAACTGATACTCAATACTATGAAATTAAATATTCACTTCAAACAACCGTTTTCAAGGCAGTGTCTACGGAGTGCTTATCGCGCGGCACCTCATTATCAACAATAAATTTAGACTCCATTTTTGAAGAATCATTATTTGTTTATAACTTAGTAATTATTAGATGTTATTATGAATCCAATTAGTTGAACCATGTAATGTAATTCGGATTGGCATGAATTAAAAAGTTCTTCAATTTGTGGATGAGTCTAACAACATAAAAGTATCCGTATATGCAACTCCACTTACGAAATTCACCCCAACTTTCGAATGAAACCTAGAATTTTGGCTGAAAGAGAAACACATAGTGGTTTATGTGTACATTAATCGGTCGGTAGCCAAGCGGTTCGGCGTGGGTGTTTTGTTCACTCACTCGAATTGACTGCCGTGTTGGTCGGTGGTTCAAGCTCTAGTCTGAACGATCGATCTTCACTTGCTATCGTCCAACTCGTGTTAGGAATCATACGTTAAAAGGTAAGACCTCGTTAATCCTTAGCTCGCACAAGTTTCGACTTCTGAGGGTTGTCGTTCGTAGGGGTGCGACAGGTGGTTAACGGAAAAACAGATTTAACAGATTTTTTAAAAACAGATTAATATCCTCGGGGAAAGATGATGTAGATTTTGATTATTTCTTAGAGAGATGAAGACATCGTAGTTCATCCCTACTGTAGTCCAACAACTGTTTGGTATCAAGCTTCGAAGAGTGAAAAAACGCCTTATAGTGAGCCAATCCTGGAAGATTCTGCCAGAAGTCCATAAATCTTCTTGCCATCCAGGTGTTCAATCTTTTGTTTGGCAAAGCCTAAAGCGACGCCAATGACACGTTCTGGTCCATGAAGCTGATTGCAGCACCCTCCTTTGCAAGGGAGTCAGCAGCCTCATTGCCTTCTAGGCCAGGATGGAGTTGTTACTAGCTGTTACAATCGGAGCCGGGTTGAAATTAATCGAGTCGCAGGCAATTTGCTTTTACGCGGTCTGCAGGTGATCTACTTGAATGATTTCAGCATGGTTCTGCTGCTGGATGAACGAGAAATATCTGCAAGACTAGCCTCTGTGGGGAATCTTGTATAAATGTCTCGAGGATATAATTCATAAACTCGAAACTCGAATTACACCAAACAGACAAAAACCAGTCTGTTATTTCCACTACACAAACAATTTTCATCATGCATTTTCTAGGAGATGTTTTTACAATGGTCTGCGGTTTTTTTATAGTCGAGTCTTTGGAGCGAAAGGAGTTAAAGCGAAAAAAACCAAGATATTGGATAATATCACTGTTAAGAAGACAAATAGAGTATGGAACGGATAAAGTTAGTCCAGATTTCATAAATGATGACATAGAAATGAATAGAAAATTGGGATCATCGAAATTTATACCCACCACAGATTACCACTTCAAATAAACTAATAATGTCACATGAAGTCACATATTGAAACAAAATAGTGAACTGAAAAGTTTCTTGTTGTTGTCGTCGCCGACCGTTTCTACATAGCGAACCCTATTCACAAAAAAACAGACAAAACACCGAGACCTTTTAATCTTTCCGCCTGCCGACGGGGCATTTCGTTGTTGACAAAAATAGTCGCCCGCGACACAAAGTCTTCGAAATGTTTCTTATTTTGACAACACAAGTTTTTGTTTTGTCGTTTGGTGGAAATCCTTCGTTAGACAAATATGAAGCTAAATGAAGATTTTATCAAAATAAATATTCTTTTCATTTTAATTAATTAGCTCTAAACAAGTAGTATACGATTGATTATACTCAAAGTCGATATTGTTAACAGTAATTTAGGCTTGTGAGCTGTGTTTTTCAAGTAATTTCATTTAGAAAAAAATGTAACTAATTATTAGTACGGGTATTTCGAAAATAATGAAGTTATACAAAAAAACCAAAGCTTTTTGCAGTACCCTCATTCGACCGCAAGGTCAAACACGACATTAATTCAATTTCCCATTATAATACCTACCATTCGTTTTCAATTTTTAACGAAGCACAGACACTATATCAATGGAAAGTGTATATTAGTTTTACAGCTTATCTAAACTATCACAAATATTTATTCGATGTTCATGAAATTTATACAGTGCGAACACAAATATTATTGGTAGTGAACGTGAAGTGATTTTTAGGGTGTTTTTGGGTATTGAAGGTTGTTTTTGAAGTGTTTCTGAAACCTAAGTGAATACCTAGTTTTTGACGAAATAATCTGAATTGGGAGGTTGATAGAAAGTCAAATGAAGTTTATTAAATGTTTAAGCCTAATTTTGGAGTGAACATTTTCAAATCCGAAATTTTGGGATATTTATTCAATGCCGGAAAAATTTTGAATTCTGATAATGCTATATATTAAAATTTGTGGGTGCTTCGTTTTCTACAATGAATACCATCCTATTCCGATTATTGATTTAGTTATACTTAGTAGCTTTTGACAACTGTTCAGAAATAATCAAACATACATTTTCAAATCTAAAACAAAGTATATGATTTCATAAACATCTGCTTTCTCAACCTTTGAAAAGTTTTGGAAAATCCCGTTTTTTCTCCATGATTTTAGGGAAAATTTGTCGTATTTTGTTCTTTCAAATGCAGTATGACATTCGCAGTAGTTTATTTAATAACACTTTTTACCGGGTTTGAAGGCCGTGGATTTTTGGAATTTCTTTCCGACGTTTCGCTCGCGCGAGTGGCTAGCTTCTTCAGAGGTTTACACATCTTGTGTTTACACGACTTCTTCTCATCTGAAGAAGCTAGCTACTCGCACAAGCCATACGTCAGGAAGGAAGTCCAAACATCCACGATCTTCAAACCCGTGACACATGACACATGACAAATAGTGACACTGACAACCTCGGCCTCGAAAGCCTTAACCATTTTGAGGTTAGTTTATTCAGTCGAAAATGAAAACCTAGAAACACACGTTCATCTGACGAATCAAATGAAATACTCTTCAAGAATACACTGGATGAATTTATTTCATATGATTTTTTTATTGAGTTTTTTTGGCATATATTCAAATTGTAAGGTCAGACAGAATGTGGCCAATAGATCTGTTAACTGACTATCTTTTACAAAACAAAATAAATAAAAAACTCATTAATACAGTAATAGAATAGAACTGGCCGATACTTGATGAAAATCCATATTGAAACTGATTAATACAGTGTATGATTTTCACTGTGCAGGGTTTTACAAAAATCGAGACATTGAGCAAGTTATTATATAGCCAAACACTAGTCGCGGTTTTTTTAGTGAAAATCAAACAATAAACTGTATCAATTAATTTTCATTAATACAGTTTATTGTACAATACAATGGTCGAAGAAAATTTACAAGGACTTTTTTTTAATTATAGACCTGTCTTTTGTATTACGCATATTTATAAAGCAATAAATTCACAATCTAAGGGTGAATCACATTTGATATTTTTATAGCGTTTCATTTGAAATAACTACCATCATCAGTAACAACAATTTTTAATTATGGTCTGTTGTTACTTCTTTTGTAAATTGTTTCGATTTTTTCAAAATATAACTCAGACAACTCAATAAATTCGACCGGTAGATACTCTAACACAATAAAAATTCGTACTTTTTCGTTTTGTAAATTTTTGTATTCCCGTAATCCTTCTTTCAAAGCTTATTTCTCCATAATCAATTATAATTCGTAATATTTTTATAATTCTCAATCCTGCAAGTAACGATAATATCAGTTTTTGGTTAAAATTCGATTGTTGTATAATTTGGTATGATCAAATAGCATTTCAATTCATTTACTATCTCAAACGCGTAGGTTTTGCTTGGTTTCTATGGCAGGAAAAATGAATGCGTTGTTGATATCTGTTAAGAACTGTCAGACGTTTATGAACATATCAAAGATATGTATTCAAATGATGAAAGGACTGATATGCTATTCAGTTATGCAAAACCAAATAAAAATCTTCTTTTGGCAACGAATATGTATGTTGAGCTATACACGAATCGTCATATTGCGAACATCCAAATGTTTAGATGATTAGAAAGAAATTTGTTTACTGGAATTGGAAGGAACCAAATAAATGTTATGAGTGAGCAAATATTACTGCATAAAAATGTACACAGTGAAAACATCTTTTTTTTTTAATTTAGGACTGGACAGTTACAAAAATTATGTTAATCAATATTGTCCTTTACGAGAAATTGCCCGCGAATGGGGGTTTCTGAATAATCCGCCAGAACTATTTTGAAAAATAACAAATATAAATAATGCTACATCATATCAATGAAAGGCATTACTGAAGGAGAGTATGATTTGCGAAGTGGTAAAGACGTAGAAAAAGGGAAGTTGGAAATATTTGTTTGAAAATAATACGGACGGACGAATCAAAATTCAGCAACAATGGTTGGTATAACAGAAATACCCATTATAGGTGGAATAATACAAATGAACATTTACATGGGGAAACCAATTTTCAAGAGAGGTTCGGAATAAATGTTTGGTTGGGAATTGTGGGTGCAAACATCCATAGCCCTTTCTTTTACGATGATCATTTGACTAGTTTAAATCTGTTCAAAATCTGTTTTTCCGTTAATCAGCTGTCGCCCCCATACGAACGACAACTCTCAGAAGTTGAGGAACTTGTGCTAGCTAAGGACTAACGAGGTCTTACCTTTTAACGTGTGATTCCTAACTCGGTGAAACTAGTGAAATGCATCTTAATTTTTTCTATTCAATGAATTCGATGGATAGTTAGATGAGTTGCCACTGAGTATGTGCCATGAAATACAATATTTTCAACAGGACGGTGCTCCTCCCCATACTGCAGCAATAGTAAGAGAACATTTACATGCAATATTCCCAAGAAAATGTATTGGAAACAGTGGACCAATTAACTGGCCAGCTCGATCCCCAGATCTAACTCCTTTAGATTTTTTGTCTGGGGATACATAAAGGATAAAGTTTATTCAACACCAAGTACAGATATCGACCATCTCAAACAAAAAATAAGAGATGCATGTATTAGTATCACACCTATTATGCTAGAAAATTGCAACAGGAATTGTCTGGACCGACAACTTATGTGCATTCAACAAAGAGGTCGTCAATTCGAGTATTTAATGTAGATTGCCATGTAGCTTTGATTTTCCGTATTGGTTTCATTTTTCCCAAAAGTTCATGATGAAATCAATTGTTTTTCTGTTTGAATGTTGTCACTGATGATGGTGGTTATTCAAATGAAATGCTATAAAATAATCAAATGTGCCACACCCTTGGATTGTGAATCTATCGCTTTATCAACATCTGTAATAAAAAAGACAGGTCTGTATTTAAAAAAAAGTTGATGGTGGCCATATTGACACGAAACGTTTTATCGAATATTCATTATTACATCGTCATAGTACACTTCGAATACAATAACATTTTCCTTTTCCATTTTCTTATATTCCCCGAAATAATAATTCCATTCGAAAAAAACGAAAAACAGCATTTTTGGTTTTCCCCGTATAACTCGAGAAGGGCGAGAGTCCCCGTAAATTTTCTTCGACCATTGTATTGTTCCCGATGACAGTTACCTTTTTCCCAATCAATCGCCTTCGTATCTGTAACGGTTTAGAATATAGCAATGTTACCACATGATAAAAGAAACGGCCTGTATAGTGAAAATCATACAATAAACTGTAATAATGAGTTTTAATATGGATTTTTATCAAGTATCGGCCAGTTCTATTCACTTATGAAATGAATAGTTTTGAAATCAGAACTGTGCAATTTTCACATAGAAAATAATAAAAAGTAAATTGTTAAATGTGTGGAGTAGTCCCGCCTTCAGGCCAAAACCGGATAAAAAAACACGTATTTCTTAAAAGCGCTGCTACTTTTTTTTTCAATTATAAACTCCATTTAGGCGGTTGAATTGAATTATAGTATAAATCGAGAGAAACAATCTATACGGGAAGTTATTTCAGATACACTCTATCTATATACCGGAAACGTAACAGACAATTGCGACTAGAGTGAGAAAAATAATCTTTTTCGCGGTGTTCATCTTATATCCCGAACAGTGACACAACTTTGCAAGTTTTCCCGATCTTGTGAAAAACGACGCATGTCTGAAGCATCCCTAACGCCGAGGAAAACACACCGACCCTTAGTTCGCCAGATGAGCTGAAATCAGAGACATTGTAGTGCGGTACAGCATCGATCGAAAACAGAAAACCATGTCAGCCACGAGTACTCCAAGGTATGTTTACTTCTTTTTGCTGTACGTAATCACTAGCTCTCTTTCTCTTTTCGATGTATTGAAACCGTATAGAAAATACGATTTCGTGTGGGGGATGATTTTCGTAATCATGCGGGATTTTGCCGGTATGCGGCTATTTTTTTTTATTTACAGTGCAATTACTCGGTGATATACTTGTTTAAAATTAGATGTTTGAATAGGTATATCTTAATATCATAGGTGAAGGTTATTTGTCGATTTAGATAATTATTCAGGATCATTATGATTGAGAAAAGGTAATGAGGCAGAAAGTAATCTGCACCATATATCTTGAGTTGAAACTGTTCCAGAAAGGAAATTATCAGAAATTATTATATTTGGAAATAAAATTAACTGTTCTCTCAGATGTTTCGTTATATTTTGCATGGAGACCTTCATGAACTTGATTATTCCAAATATTGTTCCTTATTTTGAACAAGATTCATTACAGTGAAAAGTAAATGAGAAAGATTAAACATTTTTTGGAAATAACAAAATCATAAATGTTTTTCGTCTATCCAAACATTGATACTTGGTACTTATTTTGGAGTTTTGATATCATACTATTTGTTCAGTAGCACAGTTCTATAAGTTGAAATTCCTATATAAACCTTACGTTAACTATATGCTTACATGAAAATTATAGATTATTTATAGCATACCTAACAATATATAGATTGAAAGAAATATAAATTGTGGTCTCAGTTCAGGAAAGTAGTTGTTTAAAAGAGATACTCAACTAATTTGCTGCCATTCAGAATAATTTAAAAACCATAGTTCTTCAATTATGCGTACTTTAAAAAAATCGAAATTATATCAAATTATAGATTACTTATAGCATACCAAACAATATATCAAAAATTATCACATGAATTCTATCACACTTATTTGATTTAATCTGCCAAATATATTGAAACCATTCTTAAACTATGATATTGTACGCGAAGCTTTGTTATAGATTGAAAGAAATATTAGTTGTGGTCTCAGTTCAGGAAAGTAGTTGTTTGAGTGAGATACTCAACTAATTTGCTGCNTGAAATAGCTTCCCATTAGAAGCGAAAGCTTGGCAAAGTAAACCAGAGTTTTGATTTTTTGACTGAGAGACCCAGTTAATACATTTCACTGTACATTAATATTGTTCATGAATCAATCACAGTTATAATATACAGAATGGAACAAAATTCTCAGATTCTGAAGTATTACAAAACCAAATTTATTTGCTTAATCTGAATAGGTCACATGCATATATCTGTATAGGTCACAAATAACCTATATTATACTTGATAATCGCGTATGTGAAATATTTTCCAAATACGGCAAATTTATAAAATGTGAGTGTGAATACTATCACAGGATTAAAATCTGAGTTGGCGAAAATATATCTGAGTTGTATTTAACACTAGCTTGGCAACACTAGTACATGTTTTAGAGTGTTGTTATAATGCTTGTTTTGGAGTGCGTATTATTTTTAAATTCTTGAGTATCGGATAAAATTTATATTGTGTGATTTTGATGTTTCTGTAGAGAGATTCATTAGACAAATAATGGTTCGCGAGCGATTGAGACGATATTCGCCATAAGTAGGATTGTGACGTAAACCAGTTGGAAAGCTTTTTTATGTTCTGTATCTGTAGAGCAGGGAGGGTGAGTGTAAGCCTACATCACTTAGGCCACATGTGACCCATTGTACATCCTTCCAAGGAGTTGTCCTCCTAGGTTATCGTCCATCCTGTTCTTTCCAGGAAGGTGTACAGGTGACTGGGAGACATCTCCTTTATATCGGCAGGTGTAGGCCAAGATTCGCCGAACACACACTCTCTTATTGACGATAACTCCGTGCACTCGCACAGGACACGAATGACAGTTTCATCTTCCTGTTCACACATCCTGCATATGGGTGTGTCCACTAGCCCCATATTATGGAGGTGTTTCCTTAGTTGACAGTGGCCAGTCAGAAATCCTACTGTAAGGCGTAGATTTTTCCTGGTCATTGCCAGATATTTCTT